TTCTGAGTTTTTCACGGTGGCGATGGAGTGCCTCCTTCGAATGCTCGCGTCGAATTTACTCTCCATTGACGATCCGCACGTCTCAATTCGCTAGAACAACTAACTTGCGTGGAAAGTTTGATTAAGAACTTTTAACGAGTTTTAGAGCTCAGAATGAGTTAAAACTCTATTGAACAGAGTTGTTTTAACCGAATAATCGGTTAATAAGCCAAGTGGATTTGCTGTTGCTGAAGTTGAGACAACAAATCTTCTCTAGTATCCTTCCTTAGCTGCTGATGAATGCTCCAAGATTTTGAGGATGATCTGATCTTCAAAAATCCAACCCTGACTCTGTTGAGTTTGTTGGAATTTATAGGAGGATAAGGGGTGTAACTGACCCCTTAATCCGCTCCTAAGTGGACGTGATTTACTCAGATTATGGGGAAAATAATTCTGAAACTGTTCGACTCATGATTGAATGAGTCAAACGCCCAAGTTGACGTTCAGGACCCTAACTCCACGTCTTAGACTGGAGACACGGATTTGGGTACCCGCTGGATGTTGAAAAATGCGGGGGCCGCCCGCATTTTGTTCGCTGGGAGTTGGAAACGCAGGGGTCGCCTGCGTCTCAAGAACTGAAACGCGAAGGTGAATTCCGCATTTAGAAGAGGCTAGTGACTTATAACCTCTTCTATAGAGCGTTGTAAAGAACATTGTTGGGTGATCTTCGCCTTGGCTGTTTTGGGGTGTGAAAGTCATCAGATTGTAACTCTCACAGTTGATTGTGAAGACTATTGAATCAGGATTCTCATCAGTCATCGTGGAGACTGTCGAATTGTAACATTTTTTTGATCTACGTAAAAATCCTCTGATTACGATTTTCATTTGTTGACGTGAAATTCGTCGGATTGTAACTTTCTTTGTCGAGATGTTGATTAAAGTTTGATAGGGATCAGCCATCTATTGTGATTTTTTTAGACATCCTATAATTTTCGATGGGTAGTTGGTTTTTTTAACTTCTTCCCCTCTTCAGATTTGAAAAGTTGAGCAAAGTATTCCACTCAGATTCTATTTTAGAGTCCCGATTGGTATCAAGGATTTTCCCTTCAACTGGGAAAAAGTATGGTTATGGACCCATTCTAAATCAAATTTAACAATTTTTATTCCCCCAATTTTTGAATCAGGGATAGAAAATGCGTTACTGTCGCCATCATAATAGCTCATCACTAGCTCAAGTGTGGGGCGATCAGGCGCAGGAGCTCCAAATAGTATATAGTGCTCGAATATAGTTCAACAATATGCATCCCTATGCCACTGACAAATCTTTGGTGCAAGACGCTTCATAAATTCCTAGTAAGCCCCAATATTGGCGATGCTTTATTTCACCAGCGTGTACATCACCAACTTTTTTCTTAAAAATAAAATCAAATGTTCAAGTTAAGTTAGACCTAACGTGAACTGAAATTAGACCCAATACGAACGCGCTTCTAATAGAACTAACACGAATTGTTATAGAACTAACATGGACTCCAATTAGAACTAACATGGACTGTTCTAAGACCTAGCATTGTTCTAAGATGAACTCAAATTAGAACTAACATGGATTGTTATGCACTGTTCTAGAACTAACACGAAATTAGAACTAAGATGAACTCCAATTAGAACTAGCATGGATTGTTATGCACTGTTCTAGACCTAGCACTTAACTTGAAGATGATATTAGGGAAAATTTCGTCGAGTCCCCAAATATTGGATAATCTAGCCTTGCACTTACTGCTTTTTGGGGTTGGGTTCGTTGGAACGAGCCGTTGTTGTTCTTCTTTCCGGCCTCATGATTCTACTGCACCACTTCGTATGACCAAAAGGGTTTGAGTGGCTTCCTATGCGCTGTCAAACCTAGATGATTCGCGTAGCACGACCGAAGATTGTGACCTGGCTCCATCTTTGTCCTGCTGTTCACCCCGATGAACGACTTTGTAACCGTGAACGGATGTTGCTTCCTTGGATAACATTTTTACGGCGAAAACCCTGACCAATATTGAAATCCGACGAGTTTTTTGAGTTCTTTGATTTCGATGGCTCCTCAGCGGTAGAAGAGAGAGGATTCTTGAGTAGGGAGGGGCGCAGATACCAAGTTCAATCAAATCAAATGGTGAATTTGTAACTTTCGCTGAGCTTTTCTCGTGGTCCGCTACTTTGGGGCCTTAACAAAAATACGGTGTGTATTTGGGGCGGAATCACACTGACCAAAATAGAAAGGGGCTGATCACATGAGATTACTACTTTTGGGGCCTCAACACTTTTTTCCCTTATAATTTTATATTATGTTTAGTCCTTCTCTTTTTTAATTTCATTTCCCAAAATTTCTCTTAACATTCCTACTAGGCTACTAGTCATAAAATGACTAGTAGATGCATTTCCATTATGTCTTGATTATGACATGTGTACTAGGTCTTCAATTCAAGGGCATGTGTTTCTTCTCTTGCATTGATTAGCTCGATAGAAGAGCGTAACACGGCTTTCTCTTCACTATTTCAGCTAGCTCCCAACATCTCCAGTCCTCATTCCTCAAAAACCTAGACCCACAACCCTAAAATAAGAAATATTATTTATGGCTGCATGCAGGCAGGGCAGATTTACATGGTCAGTCAGGGGAGGAATTGCACCCCCAACGTTTTGAAAATTGCGTTTTGAAGTATATATTTTGACATTACAATCTACCCCCATCATTTTAAAGAATTTGCATCTCAACTCTCACATGACCACTAAAGATAGTAACAACATATTTACAAGTAGGCCACTTGAAATTTGCTGCAAAAATGATGATAAAAATGTACTCACTCCCATCAGATACCAATCTCTGGAAGAAAACTGTCTGGATTCACTGCTGTGATGAGTCTCATCGCTCAAACTTCAAAAATGCAAACGGCAATGATGACCAACACTAGTCACTGTTGTAGAGACATGAAAGCTGCATTGATCTGAATGATTCACGTGGAGCTTTTTCAAATAGTACGAGGGGGATGAAGAGGATGCGAAACCAACACAAGAGGCCAAACGAGGCAACTATAAAATAAACCCATGTGCTTCTTGGGTAGGGATATCTCAACTTCGGAGGTAGGCTAGGGTATATTAGGTCAAATAGGTGGGAGTTATTTGGATCATTCTCGGATCTGGCCAGAATTTGGATCAGCTCGGCCTGCCTGCCTATGAGTTAAGTAATATTGTTTTGTTTTGTTTTGTTTTTGCTCTGTCAACAGGTGTGGGTAATTTTCTTTTTTTTAATAACCTTTTTCTGCGAATTACTTATGTACATCTCTTTTTAAATTTGTTTTGTACGTTACCCACTTGCATTGAAGGGTTAATTGTACATAGACCCTTGATCTAGCGCCCAATTGTACGTGAGGGGATCCCCCATAATCTTATTGGTACAAATAAACTGTGGATAGATTCACCGGGTTAAAAAAATTTTGCTCTTGAAAGAGCCGAAAAGATTGACTGAGGAGGCTATCCATACACAAAGAACCGTCTGTCCAAGCTTGGGTCATAGTACAAAGGTTCTATCCGCAATTATCCCTACTTTTAGTCTCTTGTGCATACTTAAAACTCAATATTGATTGATTAGATTTTAAGCTATAAGTACTATATATCTCGAAACAGTGAATGAACTACGCCCAAACTCTGGACTTCGGACAAATAAAAGTAACGGAGTTTTGGAGAAATAGAACGCATAACCTCGGACAAGAAAATGCTTCGTCGAAGTTCATCGTGCTGACAATTTGGTTAATTCCATTGAAATGCTCCTCCGCTCAAATCCAAAACATAAGCTTGCAAACAGCAGGAGACAAATTTTGCAGGAAGGAGACACGGTCGATCGAACTTACCACGTCATTTGGGCCAATAGGCTCTCTACTGCCGTGACTCGATCTTTTCTATTTGGTAGTTTTCTCTTTCGTATTTGAAAAAAAGATGCAATTTATTTATTTTTAGCGTGATGCTTCTTTCTCAAGAGGTTATGTCTTCTTTATTTGTTGAAAGGATCTGAAATGGTTATTCATTTATTTAGTTGACATGTATATTCTCAGTGTTTCATATTTCACTTTTTTACTTGATTTTTACAATATATCTCTAAAATATTATTAATGGATTTTTTTTTGGAGAAATAAGAGAAGAAGTCTAAACTATTTTTTTATCAATATTTTAAATACATTATTAGAATGGCCTCTCTCTCTCTCTCTCTCTCTTTACGTTTGACACACCTGTATTAGATATCGGAAAGCTTGTATTAATATTTTAGATCTAGATGAAAACATATACACAAACTACATGGTGCTCAAAAATTTATATCATTTTTAGCTAAAGCTGTTACCTTTCAACACCTATTTTCAAAAGATGATAACATACTCAAATAAGTATCTATTAAAATGAATACTTGCAGTATCCAACTATCCATGTATTAAAATATTATTGCATGCACCAAATAATTCCACAATATAGTGAAAAGAATCCGTTAGTTACTACTGTATCACATTACTAACTTTAAATATATTACATTATAAAATTATACCAATAATATACTGTCAAATTTGGAAACAAAAGCACAGACAGAAATTTCATTTCCTTTTGCCAAAATTCAACTTTGAAGATCCAATGCAAACCCAAAAAAAAACAAATCCGGCCCGACCCAACAACAGGAATGACCTACTGTACTACACATTTAGTACCTTAGAAGGTAACTCGAAGTTTCTGCCCCTCTTCCGAAAAGCCCTCGTTACACCGAGCCACTGTGGGGGTAAAATAGTCATTCCGGTTCCTACATCATTATCCACCACGTGACCTCTCTCTCTCTCTCTCTCTCTCGAAAAATTCTGGTCCAAAACTGACGGCTTTCTTTCCTCTATAGCACATACATGCATGCATCATGATGCCCATGGCATGAATATTAAATTGAGAAACCCGGATCCGATAGTGGTTAGGTCCCAAATGCCGTCTATATATAGCACGACCTTAGGCTATTCATATTCTTCAATATTCAGAGAGAGGAAAAAAGAAGGGGAAAAAGAAGAGGAATTAAAGAGAGGGAGAAGCGAGCCATGGGTGAGGTGAGAATTTGGGTTTAATGTGTTTTTTTAAGGATTTTCCATTCTCTGTTATTTTGGTGAGTTTGTTAATGGGTTCTTTCTGAAATTTGTTTTCTTTTTTTTTTTTTGCAGAAAGAAGGGAAAGAAGAGAAGAAGAAGGAGAACAAGGAAGAGAAACCAAAAGAAGAGAAAAAGGAGGGGAAGGGAGGAGAGAAGAAGAAGGAAGATGGGGCCGTTACTGTCGTTTTGAAGCTCGACATACATTGTGAAGGATGCGCTCTCAAGATCAAGAAATCTGTGAAGAATTTTGAAGGTAGTTAATTTTGTAAAACAAAATTTTTTTGTTAATTAATAAAATTTTTTCTCCTGATTGTTACCTTTTAATGTCATTTCCTTATAAAATTAAGTTTTTCCGCAAAGAAATGTTTTTTTTTTCCTTTCCAAAGATCAAACCCCTTTTCCAATTTCCTTTTTCCCTTAAAAATTACAGTGAAAATTATTTATATTGAAAATCGCAAATTCCATGATTCGTCGAAAATCGCTGGGTTCTAACTATTTCCTTGCCGATTTTTTCGACAGGGGTGGACGCGGTATCTACGGACATGGCCAACAACAAGTTAACGGTTATCGGCAGAGTGGATCCTTGGACGATTCGAGAGCGGGTTGAAACCAAAACCCGAAAGAAAGTGGAGCTCATCTCGCCGGCCAATGCTCCCAAAAAGGACTCAGCGCCGAAGGACGCGGAGCCGAAGAAGGCCCAGCCTGAGTCCAAGGACCAGAAGAAACCCGGTGACAAAAAGGCCAAAGAGGTACTTTTTGCAATTCCGGAATTGTTGTTCGTGATGAAGGTTATTTACATTTAAGGACTGGTTTAATTTGTCTGTTTCGCAATTTGGAGCAGCCTGCTGTGAGCACGGTGGTGTTGAAGATTCGGCTGCATTGTGACGGTTGTATCCAGAGGATTCGCAAGACTATTTTGAGGATTAAAGGTTTGTTTTTCCTGTGACTAATCGCGTTTACTTTGTCATTTAATTAGTATATTTGTAAGTATTATGACACTTAATTTATTTAATATGGTTATTTGTTTACGAAGAATGATCTATAAAAAGAAGACTTTTATTAATTTCGCACCAAAAATATTGAGTTTTTCGAATATTCTCTCTCGCCTACCTCTGTGTTGTCGGGGGATTATCTGTATTTTAGTTCATACCATGCAAATTGCATTTTTAAAATACGAAGGAAAAAAAAAATTGCAACAAAACCCGCATACAAGACAAAATGCAATTTACTCTAATTATAAATCCCATCATGTAAATTTGCCTACCTGTTCCAAGATTCCCATACCCACTCCCTCTCAGCGATCAGTTAGTTCTATCAGTTCCTTTTGACCATAGTCAGTCTGTCAGTGCAAAATTCCCTGTGAATGCAAACACAGTAAATAGAGCAAGTACGTACAATAATTCTATAATCAGACACAACCCTCCCCCTGACATTTCAATTATTGCAGGTGTGGAGACTGTGAACGTAGACTCACAAAAGGACTTGGTCACGGTGAAGGGCACAATGGATCCTAACGGCCTCCCTCCCTACCTAAAAGGCAAGCTCAAGAGAGGGGTCGAGATCGTCCCTCAAAAGAAAGAATCCGCTGGCGGCGGCGGAGGCGGCGGCGGTGGCGACAAGAAGGAAAAGGGCGGCGATGGCGGCGGTGAGAAGAAAGACAAGGGAGGTGACAGCGGTGAGAAGAAAGACAAGGGAGGTGACAATAAGGGTAAAGATGGTGGTGGAGAAAAGAAGGGAGCAGAGGAGGAGGGGGGCGGTGACNGTGGAGCCCCCTACCGTATGGACATGGTGCATGCTCCGCAGATGTTTAGTGATGAGAACCCAAATGCATGTTCTGTAATGTGAAAGGCGTTATAATGTTAGAACTTAGTATAGAGAGAAGAGATGTAAATAAGGCTATAGATGAAAATGTAGGGGAAGGACTAAAGAAGAGAGGTCGATCAGAAAAAAAATGTTTTGCCGTCTTTTGGTTTAGTTCAAACTTTTTTTGCTTTTTGTTATGTTAGTTTGACGGAGGTCGTGGTTTATAACTAATTGAGAGCAGTTGGCTTTTGTTGGTTTTTTCTTTTTAATATATGTGTTTGGCTGCCTACCTGAAGCAAGCCCCCCTTTGGTAAAGTGAAGTGTTAAGAGGAAGAGGAATTAAGGAGAAGTATTAACATAATTAACTTATTTGATAATTCAAAAAAATTTAAATTATTAACTCATTATATAAGTTTTATTTTAGTCCTGGTTGTTTTTTGTGTTTGTGAATAATAAGGATTTTGACTAATTTTTTTATAATTAGAAAGGTTACTTTTAATCTTTCTTTTTTGTGTTTGTGAATAATAAGGATTTTGACTAATTTTTTTATAATTAGAAGGGTTAACTCTTAATCTTTCTAAATAGGAGTATTAGTAAACCTTTTATTTTGAGGTGTTAACTCATTTTAACTTTCTAGATTTGTGTTTGTGAATAATAAGGATTTTGACTAATTTTTTTATAATTAGAAGGGTTAACTCTTAATCTTTTTTTTTGTGTTTGTGAATAATAAGGATTTTGACTAATTTTTTTATAATTAGAAGGGTTAACTCTTAATCTTTCTAAATAGGAGTATTAGTAAACCTTTTATTTTGAGGTGTTAACTCATTTTAACTTTCTAGATTTGTGTTTGTGAATAATAAGGATTTTGACTAATTTTTTTATAATTAGAAGGGTTAACTCTTAATCTTTCTAAATAGGAGTATTAGTAAACCTCTTATTTTGGGGTGTTAACTCATTTTAACCCCTCTAGAAGGGTTAGATTAACCCATTTATATTTTTTTTATGAGATGTTAACTCATTTTAATTCCTCTAGAAGGGTTAGTTTAACCCTTTTATATTTTTTATGTTTGGCAAATTATTGAGGGTTAACTCACTTTTAATCATTGTATAGATTTTTTATATTTGACGAATTAAGAAGGGGTTAAGTCTCTTTAACCCCTCACTTAACCCTTTACCAAACGGATATCGAAGAGGGTTAATATGTTCTCATACAATGTTGCTCCCACTTTCTTCTAAGGGTCCTAGCTGGCGAGCGATCCCAAGTTCACGGCAGACAACAAGACAGCGAGCGAGCGAGCGTACCCTTGCTCGCTTCTTCTCCGCCAAGCGCGGAAGTTTTAGGACAACTGCGGTAAGCTTTTTCGCGAAGATGAAAGGAAACGTAGTTTTTTATTTTTTTTTTAAATTAAGTTGGAGAATCTAAATCTTTATGAAGATGTAGAGTTTGGTGATACCAAATGTAAATCACGTGGTTGGTTAGAGTTGAAGAACTTGCAGTGGGTTGGAGGTCTGATGGTTGAGGTGTCTGCATCTTTGGTATAGGGCCGACTTCTGATCCCATCGGAACCTCCCGCACAACTCCCACAAGGTGCGGAAGGTTTTGAGCCACACAAGTTTATAGCTTGAACGGTGGAATTGGATTAGTTGGTTTGAATTAGTGTGTGGGGGTGGTTGTATAATTTATTAATTACATGGTTGGATGCGTGGTTTCTGTAGTACCTCTCCTTATACATGTAAGTACATTGTACTGCTTAACCATAAGTACATCAAAACAAAACTGACCTTATTGTGAGAGGACTCAAGTCAGGGGTAGGGGCACCCAAAAAAAAAAAAAAAATCTCCGGTATCCGCTGTCATATCCATATTCGTTAGGATACATATATGATTATTAAAACTTGTAACTGGTAGGATATGACTATGGTGTTATATAGTTAAAGTTTTGGATTCATATCTGAAAGATCTTAATATATGTTGATCATACAGATGTAATTGTTTAAATCCTTAGATTAATGAATTTGGGACTTATGTTTATGATCAGAAGGCGTAATATTAATTAGTTCTTCGAATATAACAAACGTAGCAATGAATTCTCATGTATCATATGAACTATATTTTTTGTCGATATTATTGGGTTTTCTTATATTCATTTTGTATCCACATGCATACCTATATTGCATATCCATATTTGTACCCGATTGTAGCAAATATGAATATGAGCTTTCATCACCGAGATATATCTATATCTATATCCGTGATTGGTAAGCGGATACAGATCACAGCCAAGCCTTATCCGATCTATAGATAGCCCTAGTTGGGGGTTATTCTTATTATTGTAAATTGTAGGTAGTAATCTGATGAAAACAATACAATTATTTGTTTCTACAGGTTTTCAATCAGAGACCCCACTTAGTTTTGTCTCCTCATCGATATCCCATTTGTAAGGACGATTAGCAAATTTGATTTGATGTTGATTATAAATATTTTTTGTTTGTTTTAGGTAAACACTTAGCTGAGTGGATGACATCTGCAAGACATCTAGATATGTATGGAATTGATAATCATGATTAAGTTGACATTATCTCAATATTAATCATGATTCCAGCTTATTGTCCTGATCGCACCTAAATCATTTCTATTTGTTTTTTTTTTTGAATGAGTGACAAAATGGCAGGGCCACTATCTATTGGCTTACTTCACCCCTCTCTGAATGAGCTCACAAATATGCATTGAGCCAAGGCAATTAATTAGCAGGTGTCATTTTTATTAGGGCTATGACATGTTTTTTTTTATTTATAGTCGTCTTTTTTTTTTAATAATTTGGTAGAATATTGAGAAGAGAGTTGATGTCAGGTTATGTAATATATAGTCGATCGATCATGAAAATGTGTCAAATTTTTATACGCTAAAGAAGAAAAAATATTACTCAGACTAACCAAATATACTAAGTGAGAGAGCGACGAAAAATGGTGAAAGGTGCTAGTTTATTAGGGAAGATTCCATCAATTATTTTAGTTTGGTTATATTTGAAGCAGAACCATATTGAGTACTTCATCTTAAAAATATTGTTCACAAGCTACAATATTTGTTTTCTTGTGTAAAACATTAACAACTTGATCAATTATTTAAACTTCTATACGTCATGTAGCTCTTCCAACCTCCCAACGTCAAGCAAGTCTTTAATTTTATTTTCGGAGGCAGAGCAAAATTTAATTACCCCTATCAACCTACTACCTTAACAGATTTTTCGGGCCTTACATAAATATTAACAGATAAAATTATATTTTATTCAAAAATTGATTTGATAAACTATCCTAAAATATCTTTCTCTACATTTTTGGTGAGAAGTAATCTGTTTATTTTTTTCAACTGAAAATAAAGTATTTTTTTATTCTATTTTATTTTTTTGTTTGGGAGGAGGGGGGTAAAGTAGAAAAATAATCATACGACTATATATTAAGGAAGTTGTGACTAAAAACATGTTGAGCATTAGCGTGTTCGTAGACAAAAAGGAATTATGGATGGTAGTTTTATGATGATAATCTTTCAGGTAATAAAAGTTTCCGATGTTTTTTATGAGGAAAAAAAAACCCATGACTTGCGACTGGTTTTTTTCCGATATAAGTCATGATTTTAAACTTTAACAAATTCTTCTTTCTTTACAAAAAAATAAAAAAAGTAAAAGAAAAGCAATAAAGCTTAAAATCATGACATGTTTACGAAAGATATATTGTTCTCATCGTAGCCATAAAACTCTTCAGAAAGAGAACCCTAGGATCCAACAATGAGATCCAGCATACCACACTGCCTTTACAGAAGGAAGAAGGGATCACCTTTTTTCGTGTCAACGCTTTACTTTTGCTAAATAAAATAAAAATAAGAATGCCCTTTAACCCACGTGATTGGGAAAGGGATCCTACAACGTCTCCTATATAGAGAATCATACAAATTAATGATGTAGTGATACTGCATGTCACTTTCAATTATAAATCAGTATAATCTTTATACAATATCAGCACAACCGGACTATACTCTATTAATAATATATTTGACTATACTCTATTAATGATATATTGGGAGGTTTCAATATGACTCACACGGTCTCAGATTCAACTCCAGATTGGGTTATTTAAAAGAAAAAATCACCGACTTTAAAATCTGTATTGTGACACTTTTTGAACGTTTATCTTCCTTTCTATATGATTTTGTGGAGTCCTCTGATCTTTTCCCTATGATTGCCTCTAGGAAACACTTCCACAAAAATTAAGCCCACTTTCAGAACTTTACAGTTGCAATTTGCACTAAAAGCACTAGACACAAATATATATTGGAGGCACACACTGTACTGTACATCACCAACTGGCGATGTTTGCAATCTCCAGTGGTCCTGATCTATAAACTCATCTTTGTTCTTTATTTTTTTTATAGCTTTGAGGATGTGTTAGGCAGCATCCAGGTGTAGAATTCAATTTGGTGATATCCCTTACTAGTAAAAATTAATAAATATTTATTTAAAACATTAAATAAAAATAGATGGCTAGGTTAAATTAAATAAAAATAGACCAGCTGGTACGAACTCGATCCTTTCATATTCAAAGCCAATAAGGATTTAGGATATCCGCATTCTATTTAAGTAATGAATGTATCTCCAATCTTATTACTAATTTGGCTTTTCCGATATTAACCCCTTAAAATTTTTAGTATTATGAAGTCAGTCCCTTAAATCATTGAAATTGTTCCTTAGTCCTCCGATTCTCATCACTTAATGACCCCAAAATTTTTAATATAGACCCAAACGGATCCGTCAAACACGATCCATTTACCCAATATTAAAAAATGCATTTGTTGATGTCCTGGGACTCAGCAGCGAGATTAGAGAATAAACCTGAATCAGCTGCGAGGCTTAGGGTCGATATGGATGATGTAAGGGTCTCCTAATCTCCTTTTGACGGTCGATCCCCTGTTAGGATAAGAGAGCTATAAAACTATAAGCACGTTAGAGGACCAGAGTTGGGTTCTCCGGTGATTCCTCCGATGATCGATCAATATAGAGCTTGAGTGGGGAATCAATGAACTGACTAAATTTTGTGTGTGAGTGTGTGGAGTTTGTAATATTTAGTAGGTTGCCCTAGTTAGCTATAAATGCTTACCTATGACCCTAGGGCCTCCTCCTCGTGCTCGTAGGCGATGATTTCATATGTATACTCATCTCAGAGGGGCACATGCATAACTCTGGCCTAGTCCAGGCAGGCAGCTGAATCGGAAGATAGCC